TATTCAGTCTGTATGCTGAGCAAATAATCGGAGAAACTGGACTATATGAAGAAGAATGTGGCATCAGAATTGGAGGAAGACTCATTAACAACCCGCAATATGCAGATGACACAAATTTGCTTGCTGAAAGCAAGGACTTGAAGCAGTTAGTGATGAAGATCAAAGGACAAAGATCAACATAAAAAAAACAAAAATCCTAACAACCGGACCAATAAGCAACATTATAATAAATGGAGAAAAGATTGAAGTCATCAAGGCTTTCATTTTATTTGTATCCACTTCCAACACCCATGGAAGCAGTAGCCAAGAAATCAAATGACATATTGCATTGGGCAAATCTGCTGTAAAAGACCTCTTTAAAGTGTTAAAAAGCAAAGATGTCACTTGAGGACTAAGGTGCCCCAGACCCAAACCATTGTGTTTTCAATTGCCTCATATGCTTGCAAAAGCTGGACAATGAATAAGAAAGACTGAAGAAGAATTGATGCGTTTGAATTATGGTGTTGGTAAAGATTATTGAATATATCACGGACTCCCAGAAGAACGAACAAATCTGTCATGGAAGAATTGCAACCAGAATGCTCCTTAGAAGCAAGGATAGCAAGACTTTGTCTCACATACTTTGGATGTGTTATCAGGTGGGACCTGTTCCTGGAGGAGGACATCATGCATGGTAAAGTAGAGGGTAAGTAAAAAAGAGGAGGACCCTCAAGGAATATGGACTGACACAGTGGCTGCAACGATGGGCTCAAACACAGCAGTGATTTTGAGGATGGCACAGGACCAGGCAGCGTTTCTCTCTGTTGTGCATAGGGTCGCTATGAGTCAGATACCTAACATGACACCTAACAACAACACTACCTTGGAAGCCCTGGCCTCGAGATTAATTATATCTAAAAGAAAATGAACACCAAAGATCTGCTAATAAGTACATTCTTAGAATTCTCTAGAAGGAAAAGTGCTAAATTTTTCCTAGACTATTTTTACTGCTTTTTTATTTTTTTATTTTTTTACATCTTGAAGCTTTGGTAGAGGAATCGCAACATCAACCAGGATATAAAAATGAGTTAAATTTATGCAGTGCAATGAATTAGTTAATATGGCCCTTTTAACCGTAGTCTTTGTGACTCACACACAATAACTGAGTGGGACTATGGCACAGTGGTTAAGCACTGGGCTGCTAACCAAAAGATGAGCAGTTCGAATCCACCAGCTGCTCCTTGGAAACCCCATTGGGGCAGTTCTACTCTGCCCCATAGGGTCACTGTGAGTCAGAATCCACTTGATGGCAATGGGTTTTTGTTTTTTAAATGCAAATAAAGCATATGGAACCCTAACAAAGGGATTGCTATGAGTTGGAATTGACTTGATGGCATTGAGTTTGGTTTTTGGTTTTTTACGAAGGGATTAGTCAGTTTTGCCATCACGCAGGCTTAAAATGCACCATCCCAGGGGCGGTAGGAGAGGATCTCACTACCACCACCAAGAAAGAAGAGCCAGGAGTGGAGCATGTCGTTTGGACTCAGGATCTGGAACCAGGAGACTGAGAGAGAGGGCTGTAATGCCAAAGAAAGCGAGAAGCAGTGGCAGAAGAAATGGCGGCAGCAGAGGCAGGAGACTGGCAGGAGGAGACGGCGCAGAGGGCTTTCCATTCAGCAAGAAAGCTGAATGTCTTCAGTCAGGAGGCTTGCTGGCAGAGTAAGGTGCCTCTGGGCACTTGGTGGAGTAGGTTTGCTGACCCTGGAGCTAGAGCTGAGTGGCCTTTGGGCTGAAGCTTACTGGTGGAGTGGGATGCCTCTTACCGGCAGAGCAAAAAGAGTTTTGTAATGCTTGCTCAAGCAAGGCAGAGGCCAGGCATAGAGGCCAAGGGGCCAGGGCCAGGGAGAGACCTGCCTGCGGAAACACTGAGAAGAGGCTATCTGAATCAAAGAACTGTAACCTGAGCATTTCTGAACCTGAATTGTAATCTGTTACTTCCCTAATAAACCCCGTGTGAGTATTGTCTGTGAGTTCTGTGTGGCCACTGCAAGAAATTATTGAACTCAGCAGAGAAGTTGAGTGTGCTGTGGGAGGGACAGAATGTGTCAGAACTGGTAAAAAAGGGCTAGGGAAAGCAGGTATGTCTGAACTCCGCTTCAAAGGAATCAGCCTTGTCTTGATTCTCCTTCCTTATGATGTTAGATCAGACACCTCTGCCACACCATTATTACAGCTGGCATCAGAAACAGGATTTGTTGCAATGGCTCCAGACTCATGGAAGCATGGGACTTTGTAAGAGAAAGAAAAAAGGAGCTTGGGAAGTGAAACTTTTCGTAGATTGTTACTTTGATTGTTGTTACCCGTAATGGCTGAAAGCTATGCTGCAGCTGAGGGAAGAAAAGCCTCATCTGGAGTGGCCTAGGGTAAAAGCCAGGCCAGATAAGCAAGACGATAGATAAGGGGCCATGGTCTACTGGTTCCACCCAGCCAGGGGTCTGAGACCATATGCATATGAATGGAAAGATAGTCAAGGGGTGGAACAGCTGAAACTTAAAATGTTTTTAAAAACGATTATGTGTTTATTTGAATGTACTGTGGATACTGAGTGTTTCGCCTACCTAGTGTTGTAAAGCAGACCTAAATGTATGATAGAAATGAATATTGGGTATTATAGATAACAGACAGCATGTAACTCTGCCTTCAGCCAATACTTAGTTGGTATGCTAAAAGGGGAACTAGAATTTACCTGAAAAGAAACACAGGCTGCTGGTATGAATGCAATAGCCCTGGAGAGTATCAGGGCCTTAGGTGGAAAACTTGTGCCCCAGCCAGGAATTTTGCATTTGAAAAGACATGCAGACCTACCCAAACACTGCTGAGAGAACAGAAGATTTGCATTTGAAGGAAGGACATGAAGGAAAAAAAAAGACTGTTCTGTTTTTTCAATTTCCAGCAATCAAGCAGTTTGCCTTTGGGTGCACCGAGGCAGGAAAAATCAGTGCCCATCAGAAGGAACCCCATTCCAGGACTGGAAGTTAAAGGAGCTGGTGAATAGACAGCCTAGTATACTTGCCTGTGGTGGCCACCTTGGTCCACTTAATGAGTGGAAGTGGGGGAAGTACAGCAATGAAGAGATGTGCTGATTTTGGACATATACCACTGGCATCCGCTGACCTAGGCTGGGGTTGAGAGAGAAAGGGCTGGCTGGTCAGAAGCGCAGGGTGTTGTGTGGACTCCTGAGCTTATGGGTGGTGACCATTGACCTAGCCCATGGGGCTAGGGATGATAAAGAGAAGGGGCTGGCTGGTCTGAAGTGCTGGGAGCTGTGCGCGAACTCCTGAGCCTACAGCTGGTACCCACTGTGACCTAGCCTGGATGGCTACGGATGAGCTGACCAGAAACCAACTGGATGAGAGAAAGATGGTTGACACCCTGAGCTGGTGTACACTGCTGCAGTTTGATGGCTTGCTTTGGACTGGACTTTGCTTATGGATGCAGATGCTCAAAGTTCCAAACAGAACAGAAGATTCTTCAAGGCCAAGGAACATGCTTGTCTCCTCAGAGTACTGGTTTGATAGGGATGGGCAATTTAAAAATTGGCTATCTAAAATGGAGCTAGATAAAGGCATGAAGTGGCTGGCTTACACACTTTCATGGGTGTGTTTATAAGGGGGTAAGGGAGGATCCCCACTGAGTAGATTCCTCTTCCTGATGGGTCTGGGGAAGAGGGTGGGGTAAGATGCTGACAGGATTACATGATTCAGTCCTTGAGTGTTGATTGTTAACAGGGTTGTGACTGCAAAAACTAATTGTACAGCAGTAACTGTGAAAGAGTGGACTAAGGAGGAGCCACTGTTGGGCTGTAGTGGCTGAACCTAAAGCCCCTTAAAGGTTTTGCCATGCTGACATCTCATGAGGCTCAGAGCAAGGGAATAATCGTCTCTAACTTTTGTCAGAGGCCAGAAAGCGGAAGCTGACTCTTTGCAGAACCTGACCAGATCAGATGGGCACCTGTAGCAGACCTGAGTGGCTGGTACCTGAGTAATCTCATCCTGAGGACTCTGCCCTACTGAAGGGGCTATTAATGACTGTTTTATACTGGTAAAGTTATTGGGAGGGGGAAGTTAATCCTTCAAATATGAAAAGGTCAATGGCTAGAAGAGCCAAGGGGTAGCCTGCGGTACAGTGAGTTACTTAATATGGCCTTTTTAGCCATAGTCTTTGTGACTCACGCACAATGATTGAGTGAGTATGACTACGCAAATTAGGTATATGGAACCGTAATAAAAGGATTGGTCAGTTTTGCCATCCCGCTGGGCTTAAAATGAGCCATCCCAGAGGTGGGAGGAGATAAATCTCACCACCATCAAGAAAGAAGAGCCAGGAGTGGAGCTCATCCTTTGGATCTGGGATCCTTGCACTTAGAAGCTCCTGGAACCAGGAGAGAGGGGGAGGGGGAGGGGGAGGGAGAGCTGTAACATCAAAGACGGCAAGAAGAGGTGGCAGAGAAGCGGCAGCAGCAGAGGCAGGAAATGACGTGGTGAGCCTCCTGGCCCATGGAGTGAGAAACCTGAGTGCCTTCAGGCAGGAGGCTTGCTAGCAGAATAGGGTGCTCTGGGCATTTTGTGGACCTAGGTTTGCTAACCCATGGAGCTAGAGTTGAGTGCCTCCTGGCCGAGGCTTACTGACAGAATGGGGTGCCTCTGGGCACTTCGGCAGAGCTAAAAGAGCTTTGTAACAGTTGCCCAAGCAGGGAAAAGGCCAGGCAGAGAGGCCAGGGAGAGACTGCCTGGGGACACTGCTGAAAAGAGGCGGATGGAAGAACTGTATCCTGAGTGTTTCTGAACCTGAACTGTAACCTGTTATCTTCCCTAATAAACCCCATAAGTGTGAGTATTGTCTGTGAGTTCTGTGTGGCCACTGCAACAAATTATCAAACTCAGCAGAGAAGTTGAGTGTGCTGTGGGAGGGACAGAATATGTAAGAATTGGTTTTTAAAAAAAAAAAAACAAGGCTGGGGAGAGGAGGTATGTCTGACCTCTACCTCATAGGAATCAGCTTTGGGCTGTTGATCTTGATTCTACTTCCCCCTTGTGAAGTTAGAGGAGGTCAGATGCCTCTGCCATGCCATTATTACAATTTAACTAATTGAAACTCAGGAAAGGATAAGGTAAGATGCAACCAACATTGGCTTATAAAGCAAATAATAATATAAAGCCAATAAAGCAGATAATACCATTTATAGCAAGATAAAACCATACTGCCTTATTTCATACTTTATTCAATTTTAATATGGTTTCCATTATTAACTTTTAAAACAAAATGATTTCCAGTTTAGAAAACAATGCACTGACCACATAATTCCTTTTTCATTTTATAGTTATACAAATATTCTAAATACACAATTTGTGTTCAAGATGATGGCAAATAAGATTAACTGTACAGTACATAATGAAAGAAAATATTTTAAGCATATTTAGAAGCAATAGAAATGTCTATACAAAACAAGCAAAAATGGAATAAAATTTTTTATTTTTAAAGTATTGCAACAGGCCCACAAGTTTGTAACAAAAATGTCTTTGCACAGTTCCTCACAATGCCCCATTGATAGCTAAAGCAAGACAGCGGTTTTAGAAAATAATGTTTCAAAATGCTACACATGGTACTATTGTTTGCACAGTTTGATCAAAATAACAAATCTACTTCGAGTCAAGCAAAACCTAGAGGAAATATACCAAACAACTTGAAAATCATCTGTATAAAATTCATTGCACATTATTTTACTCAGTTGTTTGAAAAGTAAAAAAGTGTATTTACAAAATATTTCGCAGTCAAAATTATAAAGTGAATGGCTATCTCTAAGTAACACGTCTTGATACAGACAGTTCAAGGAAACACACGAATGTTTTTCTTTAAGAGGTTTTCAGTGCTCCTTCCATAGGGAAGTAAACATGAGCTACTCAAATGGATTTATAAGATGGCACACATACTGGAGCAAATTCAACACCTGCATTATAAAACAATGTTAAAAAGGTGAAAGAATGAGAAATTTGTACATCGTAAGAAGCGAGCTACTCAGAGATCAACACGTACAATTTTTAATTCTGTTAGCATAAAAGTCTTCATAGTCTTCAGAGAATAGACAGATAATGAACATCCTTGACTCGATGAAAGTTGAAAAAGCACCATGCACAATAGTTTAGTGCTGAACACTGAAAAAAATAGCACCCGGAATTCTGTGACACTGACAGTTTAAAACTGGTCTAGTAATTGCCGGAGATACGGTGCCTTGGATAATTCTCTATTTACTCGAGAGAGTTTGAAAAGTACAGGGCAGTTCAGAGAAACACACGGGATATGTCGATCAAAGCAACCTGTACAGTTCTTGCATATCTGAAAGTATGAGAAAAAAATAAAACAATAAGAAAAATTTCTATGTATATGTGTAAACAAACTTTTGTAATCCTTCCTTTTTTATTATATTGTACTATATTTTTATTATTTTTATTGTACTTTAGATGAAGGTTTACAGAACAAATAGTTTCTCATTAAATAGTACACATATTGTTTTATGGCATTGGTTAACAACCCCACGACATGTCAACACTGTCCCTTCTCCATCTTGGGTTCCCTATTACCAGCTTTCCTGTCCCCTCTTGCCTTCTAGTCCTTGTCCCTGGACTGTTGTGCCCATTAGTCTCATTTTGTTTTATGGGGCTGTCTAATCTTTGGCTGAACAGTGAACCTTGGGAGTGACTTCATTACTGGGCTAAAACGGTGTCGGGGGGCCATACTCTCGGGGTTTCTCCGGTCTCTGTCAGGCCAGTAAGTCTGGTCTTTTTTTGTGAGTTAGAATTCTGTTCTACGGGACCCTCTGTTGTGATCCCAGTCAGAGCAGTCAGTGGTGGTAGCCGGGCACCATCTAGTTGTGCTGGACTCGGTCTGGCGAGGCCGTGGCAGTTGTGGTTCATTAGTCCTTTGGACTAATCTTTTCCTTGTAACTTGTTTTCTTCATTCTCCCTTGCTCCCGAAGGGGTGAGACCAGTGGAGTATCTTAGATGGCTGCTCACAGGCTTTTAAGACCCCAGACGCTTACTCACCGAGGTAGAATGTAGAACATTGTCTTTATAAACTGTGTTATGCCAACTGAGCTAGATGTTCCTTGAGACCATGGTCCCCACAGCTGTCCACCTAGCAATTCAGTTCCTCAGGGAGTTTGGAAGTGTCTATGGAGCTTCTATGACCTTTCCTTGTACAAGTTGTGCTGGCTTCCCCAGTATTGTGTACTGTCTTACCCTTCACAAAAGTTACCACTTATCGGTTGTCTATTTAGTATATAATCCCTCCTTTCTGACCTCAGTACAGATTACTGGCAGACATATGACACATAACACATTGCAAAAGTTTCATTAATTTTCATCTCTTAGAAGTCTAGCCTACCCTGCCCTATGTTGAGACATTTCTAAAGGACATTATTTCACAAAACAGAGTGTACAAAATTACCTAGTGATTCATTTCACCCGAGATCAACTTTCATTTACAGTAGAATCTTATTATATTAAAATCCACATAATAAGCTACCTAGTTACCAAAGAATGTCTCTTATACATAAACACTATTTTTTTCAAATTACTTAGGTTTATCTTTTTATGTGCTAATCACAAAAAAAAACTATTTTCTTATTTCAGAAGAGAAAATGCAGTATGAAAAAATCAAATGATGTGAATTTGAAAGTAGTACAGACAGTCCCTGGGTTATGAATGACATCTGTTCCTAACTGTGCCTTTATGTCGAATTGGTAGGTAAGTTGGAACAAGTGCATATGGTTCTTATATAGCCTTACTTTAGGGCAAGAGGAAACCCTGGTGGCATAATGGTTAAGAGCTACAGCTGCTAACCAAAAGGTTGGCAGTTTGAATCCACTAGGCGCTCCTTGGAAACTCTATGGAGCAGTTCTACTCTGTCCTATAGGGTCGCTATGAGTCGGAATCGACTTGACGGCAATGGGTTTGGTTTTTGTTTTGGGTTTTAGTGCAAGAAAAGGCTCAAAGCCTTTTCAATTATTTAAAAGCTGCATGCGTAGCAAGTGAAGGTGATTGTGACTGAGTAGGGGTTGGTTCAATCTTTTCAAAGTGAGGGCAAATTTACGTAACATTAAAGAATATGCACTTCTTAAGGCTCCCGGGTGATTCTGATGTATGAGACCTGATCTAAAGGAAAATAATACAAGGTAATTTTTAAAAAGAGGAGAGCATTATAATGTCTTACACAATTATCAGCTTTTAAACAATAGTTGAAAAGTCTTAAGTTACACATACAATTAAAAAAGATTACAAAACATGAAAAACATCAAAAAATTAAAAAGGATACTACTGAGGACCCCAAGGGTCAAGAAAATACAGGCTGATTTTTCCCTTGAACAGTGTATCCAAGTGATTTAAAAAAGGGATACCAAGCAGCGCAACTACTCTAGCTTCTCTTTTCAGAGAGAAATCAAATGTGCTTTAGTGAATTCTCTGACCTGTATTATCAAAGAGCTGCTGTTTTAGAAATGTCTGGCGGAGTGCGTTTCTGTCCTTTGCCCCAGTATTGTCCAGTCAATTGAAGGGCACATTTTTCTGAGTACACTGATTATTGTATCCAATATTGTGATATTCTGACAAGCAAACTGTTGAGAAGCATGTGCTTCAGTCTGTTCTATGAAGTCTGAGCATACTGTTGTACTATGAAGACTTTCACTAGTTAGATCTCTACCAAGAGACTCAAATCTATTCCCAAATATAGAATTTCTCTATTACAGCTCTATGTACTATAGCTACATTCAGGTGCCAGGACAAACTGATAAATACTTAAGTACCCTCTCTGCATGTCTGATAAATATGCCAGGATGGAATTACTTGCCTCACTAAATTTAACTCAATGGTTAGTTTCATGATCTTTACTGGTGACTTAAACCCCGAGCATTTAGCTGGATTCAGGCTTACATTTAAAACTTTAAATACCACAATCTGAACACTTACTTTTTAGCTCATAAGGAGGCAGACATTTGAAAAACTCTGCTTTTACCTTTATTGATTCTTTTTGTTGTCCTTTGGCTTACTTTCTAATTTAAAAAAAAAATTTCAGTCAGATGCTTAATTCATTTGTTTTCATTCTTCCATGTTGATTATTGAAAGTGTTCAGGTGATGAATTTTTCTCTGAGCTCTGCTATCAATCTGCTAGCATCTGAGAGGTAGGGTCTTCTTATTTAATAGAGAGTGCTACAATCTTCAAGTGAAAGGATCATTTTGTTTTCTGAGTTTGTTATTAATCACTAGTTTTATGGCATTGTATTGATAAAGTATTTCTTTCTGAAATTTATTGAGGTTTTCTTTACAGACAAATTTTATGGTCAATTTTTAACATTCTATGAATACCTGAAAAGAAGGTGTATTCTCTAGTATTAGGTTACAGAGATTGATATATAGGCATAAGGTCTACCTTAGTATGTTATTTAGATCTTCTGTAACCTTACTTATATCCTGATCACTTTAACTGTCTTGGTCTAAGAGAGATGTCATAAATCTGTTACTAGTATGTTTCTGTTTTTGCATTACATCTCCTATCATTTCTGCTTTATGAAAGTTTCTATGGATTATTTAATGCACTAGAGGCTTACACTTTCTTTTTTTAAAAAAACTAAAGGTAAAAATATTTCTTGAAAGATGATAAACCATCCTTACTTATACACAACATTTCTTTTAAAATTGCATTTTTATAAGAAATAATAACTAATTTTGAGAACATTCTGGGTAAATTAATGGCACCAACTAGTACAGTGTTTGTAGCTAAGGGCAGAAGACAGGAGGGTCCAGGGAAGAGACGACATGCAGCCTCTGACCTTAACGGAGCTCTGGAGGTAAAGCTCACATTTACTCTTCGTTCTAGATGCCAACAAGGGAAATTTCTTTGCCTTCACTGAGTCCACTTGGTATTTAATGGGGCAGACAGACACACACGTAATCACAGTAAAACGGTAAAGCAGAGGAGGTTATGGCAGGTAGCCCACTGTAGGGAAGGTTTTATCTGGTCTAGGGGTTTAAGCTTATTCCTCTCAGATGATTTGCAGGGGTAGAGGAAAGTGTTCCAGGCAGAGGGAACAGAGTATTTAAACGCCAGGAGGTGGGAGAGATTAAGGTGCATTCACGGACCTATGGAGCCCTGGTGGGTCAGTGGTTAAGAGCTCTGCTGCTAACCAAAAGGTCAGCAGTTCAAATCCACCAACCACTCCTTGGAAACCCTATGGAGCACTTCTACTCTGTCCTATAGGGTTGCTATGAGTCAGAATCGACTCTACGGCAATGGGTTTGGTTTGGGTTTCATGGACCTATAAGAGGTTCAGTATGGTAAGGATGGAGGGTAGAGTCTGACCGCGAAAAGGACAAGAAATGGTGATAGAGAGGTAGCAGGCAGGTGCTTGAATGGGGAAGACTTGCAAACTTTTTCATTTTATTTGACAAAACTGAGGTCAAGGGACTTGCCCAATGTTAAGAAGTCTACACTAGAATCCTGGTATCCTTACTATCAGCTTGGTTCACTTTTCACTAAATCATGCTCTCTCTCAATTATTCGGTTAATTTTTCAAAATGCTTCAATAACTTTATATTGTTCTTCTAAATGAACCAAACCAAACCCCAACCCAAAATTGTCCTTCTCTAGCCTACAAGTTAAAAATGTAACTTAAAAATATGATGGCATAAGATATAATTATTCCTTCAAGAAATATATTTCTTTGTTTTTAAAAAATGTGCTATGCCAATTTTTCTTTAGATGTCATTTTCTGGCTTACTTCCAAGAGATTTCTGTTATTTTTTTCTGCTAGAATTTCCACATTTGGAAAGTCATCTCTGCGTGTTATGTCTATATCTCAGCTATGCCACTTACTAGCAGTGTAACAGGGAGTAAATTACTTAACCTCCTATGTCAGTTTACTAATCTGTGAAAGTGCCTAGAACAGTCTCTGGCACACAGAAATATTCAATCATGTTAACTATTAATGTTCTATCTGCACTCTTGTAGTTGTGAACCTTAAGAAGTTTACCAGAAATTCTCTAGGACAACCAGATTTTTGTGAGAATGACTACTGTAGATAGAACAATTGAAACCTTTCTTTTTCTAATACTATTATAGAAAAAATTGGGCAGATAGGCATTCTAGTTCTAGGTTTTAATAAACATGATACAGTATTCCATCAAAACAAACAGAAGAAATTATAAAACAAATAAAGCTATTTTTAATAATTACAGAATTTTTGAGACTTTAAGAAGCTTATCAGTTCAGAACCCTCATTCCACTTTTCACACCAGTTTCATGTTTCATACTACACCTCAAGAGATTACTGCATTTCTCTGAAGAATCATACTGCTTGGAATTCTGAGTCTACTGAACAAGGTCGTACCTTTACAAGTTGCTCCTGTTTGCGTTCCAACTCTCGAATTTCTTGGTTGAGGATGACTGCGACATGCTGAGGCTGGCTCCGACATTTACAACAGATGCCACGTTGAGTCAGGTCATCACACACAGGACAGTGTAACGTAGTGAAATATTGTGAAATAGTGCCTTTCCGCCCTTCAGGTTCACTTCCAGAGGAGCTGGTGGCTTTCTTGATCTATAGAAACATTCAGATAAGTCTCAGCCAGCCGAGTTGCTATTCTCATGCTGATTACAGGTTCACTGAGGCATTGTTTCATTCATTCATCCAACAAATACTGAGTACCTACTATGTGGCAGACACTGTTGTAGACACTGGGGCAATTAGAGATGAAAAAAGTCCTTGCTTTCATCTTAGTCTCATTAGATATTTAACGATCCTCTGCCACCAGTCAACTTTTTGGTTGAAATACATAGACGTATGAGATCATATAGGGCAGAGGAAATGAGAGAAATTCAGATTGAGAGGGGATACTGTTTAAAGCTGCACAAATTGGGTCATGGAAATAAGGTAAGTGGAAGGTTGAAAACAACAAAGGTAACTTATAGATTGCTTATTGAGCAATATGGGGAAAAATCTAAGCAAAAGTAAACCTGGAGCATTTCAAATTTAATTAGATACATGTCACCTAAGAACTCTGCATTTGAAGTTAATACTGGTTTTGAAGACTTGCCTTCTGGTACTCTTTTTACATTGAAATAACATTATCATATTATTTCTCCTGGAGTCTTATAAATTACTTTGCATAAAAGCTTTTAGGTCAGTCTCTTATGAATGCCATTGGTTTAACATTCTTGCTGGTGATGAAATAAAAACAATAATAAAAGAAGTGAGCTTCCTGGTTTAGCACCAGGGTACAGCATTATAGATGCTAGCCAGTATGAAGTCTCTGAAGCACAGCTTCAACCTCAGTTTTCTAGTTTACTCGTTTCCTTTAGGCTATTAAGTGCTATTGAGAAAGTAGAATGATTTAAGTATCAACCTTTATCAGTTTCTCTGAATACCACTGCCTTTCATAGTCTGAGATAACAGCAATGAATGAGCAGATAGGAAGTGAATTCTAACCAGAAGATAAAAACTACTAGTCTTCTAGAAAAATGTATCCCAGATTATTACAGAATCACATACTGTTCCTTCAGGCTTCTAATGAGTCAACTAAGAAAGCTAAGCTAAGCTCCCTTTGCTAAGATTTCACATTGAATGTTTTACTTTAATATGCTACTTTAAAATTATTTCTTTAAGACTATGTCTGCATACTTCATCCTGTACATTTTAAAACATACGTTTTGAAGGTATTTTTGCTTTCCTTCATTTATTTTCTATTAGCTGGCTTATTCCAAGTTGTTTTGTGGTTTAGTGTTTACCTTGGGATTTATTTTAATAGTTCTATAATTTGGCCAACCTGACAGAAGCTGGGAAGGTGTCTGTAGAAAACTTAAAAGTTTCTCTTTTAGGAAACTAGGAGAGTGTGGTATCTTGGCCAGTTTAGGATAACAGAGTATCGGCTTTGCCTCTCACACCACATAAATGAAATATGGGAATTTTAAATGAAATCGCTCTCTGGTATAGCGTAGGTACTATATAGTAAGCTTACCCTTGGTAATTCATGATACCAGTTGAAGACATCAATACCAATAAGTGAGAAGATTCTTGCCAAGGGTGGAAGGATTTGCTTGGTGATATAGTAAGTGGCATTCAGTCTAAGAGTCGGGTCCTGCAAGACTTCTACTGGGCGCCTTACGAGCTGGATGAGTGGTACTCCTGGGGTCCCATAAATGATGACATATGGCACTCGCTCCCCAACTCTCGGCTCAGAGCGCCGGTCATAAGTAAGCATTTTCCTATTAAATCCAAAATAAAATACACATTCAAAGACTATCATGCAAGGCATTTTTCCAGCAAATTAAATGAGAATTAAACAAATATGAAACAATGGGAAATCTACAAGGGGGTGCCTTCAAGTTAAGAGTTACAACTGCCTTGAGAACTTTATATACTTCACTTAGTTGAGACCAAGTGGATTTGCTGTAAGAGTCTGAAACTTACTTTTGTACATCACTGCTACCTGGAAAATAATATATGAGTTGGCAGATAGCAACTGGCTTTAAATGTTTTTTCATCTCTTAAGAACTAAATCTAACAATTTAAGATAAGATGGAATTCAGCTGGTTAGATTATCTGACTCCAGAAAGATACCATCTAAGTACTTTGGTAGACCAATAACTAAGGACTACCTAGTAATTTTGATGTGGGAAAAACAAGTGAATCAAGCTCCGAATCATATCACAATTTCACTGAACAGTTTCCCCAGAAGGAGTTCCTTCTTGTTCTTCAGAGCTTACAAAGTATGGGAGGTCATCCATTCCCCTTCAGTGAGGCTTCATGTAGGCAGGTGAAGAAACAATTGTTTGTTCCTGTGAACTAGGTGTCTTTTCACTTACTCCAAGCCTGTGCAGAGCCTCAGGCCTATACTTGGCAGGTACTGAGGTTTGTGCTGTTGTCGACATCATTACCTTGTGAGTTCAAGGGCTGGCACACAAGCTCCAGGCTTGTAAGAGAAACTTCCTCTGTATTCCTTGGCAAAGATAAAATCTTGTATGCTGGCCTTCCCTTCCAGAAGCTTCATACATTGTTGCTGAACATACTGTTTAATTAGACTTATATCTCTTGTTTCAAATAGCAGCTTTAGAGAACGCTCAAGTATCTTAAAAAGAAAAAAAAAAGATTATTACTATAAAGACAAAATGTTCTCTAGTATGTTTCATCATTGTTGTTATACTTTCAATTATATCACTACGAGGTGATCTGTTGATCTACCTAAATAATCTGTTACTTACAATGGTTGGATAATAAAAATTACTGGAGATGGAAAAATATTTTGGAGATTTCATACAGCTTGCTGTTTCTAAAAACAGAATATGTAGTTTGAGGAGAATCATACTGGAATGGTATGCAGATGAACATTTGCCATGTGATGAGCAACATGAAACCTTTAAGTTTTTCTTAACTAGCCAAAACACTCTAGGCACACAAGGCCAGACATAATTCCGTGCATTGTTTTTTATTTACACTGCTAAACAAAGAGCCAGATTCAGGTGGACAGAGAGTTTAAGTATCACTGAGCAGTGAAATCAGTCTTTTTGCCTTTTTATAGTGTTGATAAATATATACTAGTGGTGACAGAGTTTTTTATGTTGAAAATATTCTGCTAGGAATATGCACTGGATTTCTGTAGTGGATTGAATTTAAATTAGATCTAGGTGGAAGTTCTGTATCTTATTCTGAATACTGGAATCTATACGTATTTACATTAAAAAAAAAAAAAAAAACAACAAACCCACTGCCATCGAGTAGATTCCGACTCATAGCAACCCTATACGACAGAAGAGAGCTGCCCCATAGGGTTTCCAAGCTGTAAATGTTTACGGAAGCAGACTGCCACATCTTTCTCCCATTTACACAATAGGCTTGTTAATTTTGCTTAGGTGTAATTCTGAATGCAGAGAAAGAATATACTGGATGATATCTCCTGCAGAAACTAGTACTGAACAATACCCAAAATTCACATCATAATAAAAACAACAGTCAATCCATTATGCTTTTAATGCTCTCATAAAACTTAGTGTGTTGAGTACTATTCCCATTTATAACGCTTATTTTTGGTTTGCTATGGAAGGAGTCAGAGACTGAATAAAGAAAAAGAAATCTAAATACTATGGTTAAAATTACTACGGTTGAAAAATTTGGATAAGTTATAATACCACCGTTCAGAAATCTCCCTAATTTCTATTTGATAACCCAAGTAAAATATCAGTTAACCTGGGGTGGATTATGTTACTTATGAAATTCCTCTGTTGCTAATTTCTCTTCTTTATCCTGGCTCCCAAGCGTTTTGGTGTTGTCATATGACACATCACATTGTCATTTCTGTTGATAGGCGGGAAAACTCCTACCAAGTTAATGTGTTGCTTTTTAGCAGTTTTGATAAAAGGTAAGGTGTTTAAGGATAGTTATATATTTATTTCCTGAAAATGAAGACAAATTAGATGAAACTTACCTTAGAAACAGCAGGGCAGGAATCTCTTCTAACTGTTTCTATTCCTTTTGCATCAAAAACTGGGTCCTTTTGTTCCAGTGTTTCATACATGTAACCCACATACCTCTTTTTTGTTTGTAAGACACAGGGCAAATATACCTGTAGTGAAATTAACAAAATGCCTTCTCAATAACCATTTTCCCCCACCATCAATATTTTATTTTTATTTCCCTCTTTTCTTTAATCAAATGTTAATTATAAATTACAAAAATTCTAAATATGGTTTACAGCCCGACAAATTCATGATATAACACCTGGAGATGAAAGCACACAAAACGAGCTGTCTCTACTTCCTTACTACTCACTCACACCTTTTCTTGCAGTATCACTTGCTTCTACCTCAACTGACACTGCTCCCTCAAAAGTCAACAATGATCCCTTCTTAAGTAATTAAAAAGATTACCTTAATAACACCTATTTATGGTACAAAATTAAAAAGGTATAAGAGAGTACAGTGAAAAGTCCCTGTCCCCTAAGCCTCTGCTTTCCCTTCCCTAGATACATTTTCCTTTATTGGTTTCCTGTATATTCTTCCAGAGATATTCTAAGCAGACACAGGTAATTACACATTCTTCCCCCCATAATGCTAGTTTACCATAAATACCATTCTGCACGTTGCTTATTTCATTTAGTAACTTACCCGGGAGAGCATTTCATCCTAGTACAGAAAACTTGTTTTGTTTTGTAGCTACATAGTAGTCCACTGTGTGGGTGTATCATAATTTATGTAACCAGTCACTTACTATGGTCATTTAGGATGTTTCCAAGCTTTTGGAATTACAAATAGTGCTCTGGTGAACAACCTTGCATGAATAAATCTGTAGGATAAATTCCTTTAAGTGGAATTCCTGGATCAATGGGTTTATGCACAGATTTCTTTTTTTCCCTTCCTAATGTTACTATTTTGGTCCTTTCCACTACCCCCAAGCTTTATCAATAATGACATTAAATGTAAATGGTCTGAACATCCCAAATAAAAGTCAGAAATTATCAGATTGGATAAAAAAGTAAAGTCCAGCTATACACTATCAGAAATACAGATTAAATATAAAGACATAGAAAGGTTAAAAATAAAAAAATTGAAAAAGATATACAAGCTAATACTAATAAAAAAATTGGTAGTAGTTATAGTAATATTTAAAAAAAGTACATTTCAAGACAAGGAATACTAACGAAAAGGGTCAATTCATCAAGAAGCCATATAATTCTAAAAGTGTGTGTACCTAATAAGAAAGTTTTGAAATATATGAAACAAAAATGGACACAACTGACAGGAGGAAAACAGGCAAATGTACAACTATAGTTGAAGATTTCAGCAGCTCTGTTAGTACCTGACAAAAAAAAATCAGTAAGAATATAGAAGGCTTCAAAAACACTATCAATCAAGTGACATTTATAGAACATTCTATCCAACAATCAGAATACTCATGGCTTTTCAAGGTCACAGTGAACATTCATCAAGATAGAACATATACTGTACAAAAAAATTCTGACCACAATGGAATTAAATTAGAAAAAAAATGATTTTTAGAATATCCTCAAATATTTGGAACTCAAACAATACACTTCTAAATAACCCATGGGTCATTATCATTCACATAAATGAATAAAAATCATTTAAATGAATGATAATGAAAACAAAGATATCAAAATTTGTGACATGCACCTAAAGCAGTGTTTAGAAAGAACCAAAACTGTAAATCCTTTAAAAAAGATTGACTTAAAATCACTGATTCAAGTTTCCAAATTAAAAAAATAGGAAAAGAATAGAAAACTAAACCCAAGGTAACGAGGAGGGAAATAATAATAGAGTGGAAACTAATGAAATGTTTCTTTGAAAAGTTCAATAAATTGAAAAACCTCTAGCTAGACTGATTAAGAAAAAACACAATTTTTCAATACCAAAAGTGAAAGGTGGGACATCACTAGAGATCCTACAGATATTAAAATTGTAACAAGGAAATATGAACAATTTATGCCAATAAATTTGACAACTCAGGAGAAATGGATAAATTCCTCGACAACCACAAGTTATCAAAACTGACACAAGAATAGAAAATCAGAATACTGCAATATCTATTAAAGATGTTGAATTTGTAATTAAACAATCTTTCCAGAAAGGTCCAGATGACTTCACTGATGAATTCTAACAAACACTTAAAGATGAAATAATTTTAGCAATCTTACACATTTTTTCTTTCAGAAAACAGAAGAGGGACCACTTCCAACTCATTTTATGGGGCCAGCGTTTTCTTGTCCCAAAACCACACAGGCAATACAAGAAAATAAAACTATAGATGAATATTCATGAACATAGGCAGTAGAACCCTTAACAAACATTTAAGTTTTCCAGGGTTTGCTTTTATGTTTAGGTCTGTGATCTGTTTTGGGTTAATTCTTGTATATGGTGTTAATTCCTACACACATCATGCTCTTCACTTTACCAGAAGGGTTAAGCAGCCCCAGAACCTTACACATACTTCTAGAGCAGCGCTCATCTGCTCTCTAAATTTTCTCTACCAGCCCACCCCCCCGCCCCCCGCCCCATTAGACTGCTTACTCTTCAGGGCAGATACCATATCTGAGCCCTCTTTGAATTTCTTCTAGCATAATTCTTGGATCAGAGTAGGTACATGATAACATTTGGAAGTCATCTTTGATTCTTTTCTCCCTCTTTTATCCTTTCCATACCTGCTCTCCTAAAATAATCACTTCCTATTCTTGCCTATCCTTTTTTTCTCAATGTTTCTTGAATTGTACCTTCTTTATTTTCCCTATTGTCATTACACTAGTTCAGTGTACATGACTGAAAGGCTAATCCTCCTCAAACAGTTCTGATCATATCACGCTCTTGCTCTTTCTAAACAAAAGTGAAAATAGTTAAAGGTCTTTGGGGCAGTCTATATTTTTCAAGAATGGCTGCAACATAATCTTCTATTCTATATGGCCTTCTTACTACGTGACTCTAATATTCTTCCCATTAAGAGATGGGTCTATGTTCCAACTCCTTAAATGTAGAATAGACTTGTGATGCTGTGTTAAATTGACGGTGGGTCATAAAAAAGCAAAATAGCTTTTGCCTGTTTTTTTTGGGATACTCACTCCTGGAACCCAGCCATCATGCTGTGAGGAAGCCCAAGCAGCCCCAGGGAAAGGCTAGATGTAGGTGTTCAGCTGACAGCCCCAGCTGATGTCCCAATCAGCAGCCAGCATTACCCACCAGACATGAGTGAACTCATTAGATGATTTCAGCCCAGCTGAAGACACAGGCACTGTGAAGCAGAGACATGCCATCCCTGCTGTGCCCTTTCTTAATTTCTGACCTAAAGAATTTGTGAGCATAATGAAATGGCTTTTGAGCAAAATAAAACTAAGTTTGAGGTGGTCTTTTACACAGCAATAGTAACTAGAAAAATAATTTCCTTATATAAGTAAAAATTTTTTGAGAAAATTATATGAAACTAACAGGAGAGACTATTTAAAATTAAAGTTTTCAATGACCATTTTTTTTTTTTTTGTTTAGAGTTTTTTAATTACCTTTTCAATCTCTTCTTTTGTTATGGGTTTATTTAGTTGTTCTACCTCTGTTTGT